ATGGTAGTGCTGTTTATTTTACCCCAAAGAGAACAGTTTTGGGCCAGAATAGACGTGTCCTCGGGCAGTCGATCAAACGAGCCACATGCAGTGGGAAAAACTGATGAGACCTCTCCTAGAGTCATGAAAAAATGTATAACATGTTGGCCAGCGGTATCGTTTTTGGTCATGATGCTCACGACTCTACCTACTGATTTCTTGTAACAATAGAAATGGATTTGATGGAACCCCATCTTTTGGTGAATATCCAACAAAGCCTTTGAAGTTGGGAGGACACTTCTGTCGTTGTTGTTGTACTGGCCAATGATACGATAGGTGTTGTAATCCTTTATTTCTAGTGAAGACGGGTTTTTCAAGTAGAGTCGTTTGATTTTGGTCCAGCCACCTATAGGTATGCCACAGTTAAGTGTATTGTTAGCTTAATGAAGCATTAGATAGTGGTTAACAGAATCAAGTCCTTTACCTCCATCAGTTGTCATGTCACAGTATGCTTCGATTGGTTTCCCTGTGTTGGCCGGATCGAGTACGTAAACACCAGATCCATATGAAAAGCCATTGGCCAGAATGTGTAAACAAGACTTGGCAGGGCGTTCTTTGCTACCCAGGGTAACTATTAAATTGAATGACATGAAAGTATATGAAATATAGAGATATTGTTATTGTCTTTGTTGTTGTTATTGTTATTGTTGCTGTTGTTTTGTTGCTGTTGTTTTTATTGTCGTGGATAATCTTTTTTCTAGCTCACTCACCTATCTTAATGCATGTGTACTCCCTTGAATTTACACCCGTCTGGCAGATATCCATTGCAGGGCAAGGCTTACTTGCGCAGACATTCTAGACAAAATGAAAATAATGTCCTTCAATAAACTAGAATGTAGTATACTGAAAAGCACTACACAATTAGCCAACCTGCGGGACATAAGATCAGCAAGCCAAATATATAACCAACCTAAACAAATTAACCTACCGACCAAACTAACAACCACTGCTAGAAAACAAAAAGATCACTCGTTAATTTAAGTGAAACACATGTTGAGATTCGTGTTGAGAACACTCGCGCCAAACGAGAGAACAGAACAGCAACTAAACACGTTAACAAGTAGTGTCCTTTACCTTAAAAGGTAGAAAGTTAAAAGTAATTTATGTTACTTCTATAGAGCGGGGAGTGTCTGCCCAAATCTCCCGACTCATATATAAAGTGTTCCAAGGTGCTCCCTTTACCCCCTCAAGCTATCAGTCCTCCTTATTACCAGCTTCTTATTACGGGTATTTACAGCTAAAGCAGTCGTCGAGCTTCTGAGGATCGAAACTAGTCGAAACTCTAGTTCTGAAGGACGCGCACTAATGTAATCAACTGATTTACGCCTTCTGCTAAAACATCCGTAATCTAAGAAAGAGGTAGCTCATCTCATAGAGACTTTAAAAGTCGACAAAATAATTTGAAACTCGCAAAAGGAAGACAGTAGAATGATCAATCCATATGTAGAGTCACATCATTAAATATGGTAAGTAAATTCATACAAAACGATTCTTAACAAATTTCTTTCCCCCTAGCAAATTAGTTCAATTGATAGCATAATACATTGTGGAAGAGTTACCTTTGTTCCAACATACGTAAATCCAGTTTTTTTGACCAGGTCCTTGGGATACTGAAGGTGGTCAGAATCATTGATTTCACAATGGCCGGATGTTTGATGATAGTTATAGGACATGCATACGCCATCAAGGTAGCACATGACTCGGCACAGTGAGGCTGTTTCCGTTTGAAAGGTTTCTTTGACGTGACTTCGGAGGTAGCTGCCAGGCTTCTCTTTCGTAAACTCTGAATCATTGCATGTTTGTCCTTAAAAAAAAAAAAAAAAAAAAAAATTAAAAAAAAAATTAAAAAAAAAAAAAAAAAAAGACATTCACATTTTTTCTCGCTAATACGTAAAACATTATTTTAAAATATCCATTATTTTTGCGTTATACTTTTTGCAAAACCATTTGTCACGACCGCAAACTTTACGATTTCGCGCGCGTAGTTGGAACCACTGGAAGCCCTAAGCAGACAAAACAAATTATGAGTTCGTTTTTCATGTTTGAATGTGATCAATAGAATATGGCTTTACTCTGTTAAAGAGAAGCTAGTCTTATTAATTTAATCGATCAAACTACCAACGATTTAAATTATTTGCTATAAAGCTACCAGATTAGGGGAAAAACTTTGAAAAGTGTCAGAATTCCTACATACATAGCTACAAAGTGTTTTTTAACGAGAGTGGGCAATTTCAGTACGAACATTAACTAACTGG